ATAAAGGATAATAGTTGGGGTACCCGAAGAGATCTTGAGGCTGACATGGGGTTTACAATTTGGGCTTGGTTTGGAGAACCTATACTCCTTCAGTCAAAAATCTCAACAAAGAAACTGGTATTTATGATCATCTTAGAGGTAGAGAATGGAAGTATGATTACTATATCTCTGATCCTACATCTTCTTAATAGAATACAAGGTATGCACGCTACATTATCATACATATATGTACAATAGGAGTTCAAACTAAAATTCAGCAGCAAATCCACATATTCTTCTTAGAGCATTTTGAGGAGAGCCAACTCCTATTTTTAAAAAATATTCTACTGTGGTGCTGTAAGAATAGCAAGGCAGTATTTTTGTAAGGAGCTTATTTACAACATCTATAATGAGAACTGAAGATTAGAGAGTGGAGCCTTTTGTCTATCTGTGAAGATAAGAGTAACGGTTCGCTTCTTGTGGGGACGACTGCTTTAAACCATTCATTCAGACTGCAGAAAGATATACTTGGGTAAGAAAGCAGAACTTCACTCTATCCATCTTTCTACCCAAACCCCAATTCCCTCTCACAGATTCTTTGAAGTCAGCTCCCTCCATTTATATCCCTCGTTCAGGAACTCAGCTGAGAGGAGGTAGTGAGTTTGGAAATTCTTTGAATCACAGATTCAATTTATCCATTCATCATGAAGCCACAAGAGCCTCTTGGTTGGCATTGGCTGTTCCAGACTCTGATGGCTAGGCCTAAGTAGAACTTTACTTCTACTTTTTGTCATTTACTTCTGATTCCTGTCAAAGAGCGATATCTCTGGCACTTATGGCTGGGTTGCATAAGAGACAAAAGGCAGTAAATCACAAAATAAGGGGAATGAATCCCTTTCTACCTAAAACAACAGGAACATGGCCAATCTGAGGAGAGCACAATAAACTACTCCCAAATAGTTTCCCTCCATTCATCTTTACATTACTATCGTATGAGAACCCAGCCATTGTGGTTTGTATAGCTTACTGAGCCTCTATGGCTTATTCTATAAAATACAATAAAAAAATAATCAAGGTTTATCACGGAGCATAGCCACTGGCTTACCCCCTCCACCCCCACAAACAAGGTATTATGCATCCAACCAGCTCACAGTCTTCTCCATGAACATAGCAGACTTGACTTAAAAAATGATGCATGGAGGCTGAGGAAGCAGGAAAGGAGGGCATTAGCAGGAACAAAGAGCCGGTGGCAGGAAGGAGAGAGGGGCAAGGCATACCAACTCAAGTCTACTCACTCCTTAAGACCTTTCCACAATTTGTTGCAGTTAAAATCTGGAAGAATCCAAATGCACCAAATATTGGTTTGGCCAGCTGGGATCAATCCAGGAGAGTACAGGGAAATTTCTAAGCCACAATTTGCTTCCTTTAGGTTTGAAACAAAACATGTTTTCTTTTTCATGCACAAGACTACCTAGGCAACAGGAAAATAGTTCAGGAACTAGATTGTTTATTTTCTCTACTGCATTTATATCTGCCTTCCATTCAGGATCGCAGGTTTCTTCCTTTTCCCCATAAGACAGCAACTCTTTGAGTAGGCTGGGCTGCCAGAGAATGACTGGCTCAAAGTGATTCATTATGCTTCCATGGCTGAGAATGGACCAAATCCCAGGTTTCCCCACTAGTAGTTAACACTTTAATTACTATAGCACATAACAAATTTTTTACAAGAAATATAGCTTTTTATTTTCTTACTTAAGAGGTACTTCTTTAGACAATTTGCAAACATACCTGGTGATGATGAATGCTTTTTATGTTGCAAGAAAAATTTTGGTACAGATGAAATTTGTTCACATTTTTTTCATTGATGTTTTTAGAAGTTACTTTTGTTAGAGATGACTGAATGCAAATATATTTTCTTTGACATCTGTATTTTTAAAACAAACAAAAAAATCCTTTAGTCAAGAGAATTTCATCTGAATGATAGCAACATTAATAAAAATAACTTCATCATATTACAAAATTAATTGGATATCACTCGTAATGCCAAGTTAAAAATAGGTTACGTGCTTTCCAAAAACTGGTAGCCCAAAAAACAATTTGTAATGACCAAATGACTGTCAAGAAATATAAATCTTCCCATTCCCGATCATTCAGTGAGAACTGAAGAAGTTTTCTAGATGAGCAGTGAAACATTTTCAAAGGAAAAAACAAGAAAGTCCAGTTGCCTTTTGAAAAGCATATTTGGGACAACCATGACCTGGATGATTGAGAATCAAAATAGAAAGTTTAATGTCATAACAGGATAATTTATTAAATGCATGGCTATATTTAATGCCTATTACATTTAACTTTAATTAGATATAAATGAATGAAATTGATTTTAATTTTTTTCCATCCTGATCCTACATATTAGTCTTTGGAACAGACACTTTTGAAAATGGCCCTTATAATCAGAGCACTGTCGTCAATCCAGAAAGTGATCTTGTGGTTTATTGCTTTTGTCTTAGCTTAAACTCTCTCCAAGAAAAAAAAAATCAGATCTGAGAATGGAGGGATGAATAGCTCTACTGGCAATCAATAGCAACAGCACTTAGACTTATATACCGCTTCATAGTACTACAGAAACAGAATGTCCACACCCAGAAAAAAGCAGTGAGAGCAGGAGCAACTTCCAACTTCCTACCAGCTTCTCTATTGTATTTCCTTGTGGGAATCTGGCAGGGAGATTGGAAACCAACCAACCTTCCTCCCTCCTTGCTCGCTCCTGTTCTTCCATCCCTTTTTTCCTGTTCCTTCCTTCCTTTTCTAAATAAACAGAATGACCATAGACATGAACAAAATCAGTGGGAATGGGAACAACTTCAGACTTCCTGTTTCCTATTGAATTTCCTTGTGGGAAGCTGGCAACAAATATCAAATGTCTTCCTTCCCCAGAAAATTTTGTCTGAACGTATGGAATAATATATTCTACCCAGGACCAAAGACTTTCAGCAAATCTACAGGACTAGCAAAATGCAATGTTACCAATCTCTAACAAAAGAATATGTCTATTGTTGAGGTAATTCCCCATTAGGAGAATGAGTGCATACAGGGAGACGTATTTGAGAGTAGTGTTTGAATAATACACACACACAGCACACAGATACACTGTAAAGTAAATGTAGGTTTTTACTTCCAGAAACGTTTAATCAAAGTTCAAACACAGTCCAAAGTCATTCACAGGGAAGATCAGTCAGTTTTTAGTCCAGGGATAATCCAATAACAAAGTCCAGTGTCAAAAACAGCTCAGTATCAGACTTACATAAAATCCAGGAATATCAGTCAATTAGAAGGAAAAATGGAGGAATGGCAATACTCTCCAGCAGAAGGAAACAGACTCACTGAGACTTCTGAGACTAAGACTAAGACAATCCAGGTTTCTGGCTCCAACTTATGGACGTTTGAGAAACCACACCCAATTACAGTTTTTGCATTTTCTTAAAGATACAGTATTAAAATGTCTATCCTGGTTTATATATTTCCAACCCAAATACCTGTTAGGTGACTTACATTCCTAACATCTATGACAAAATCACTTACAAATTTCTGATAAAATCCAGTGTTTCTTTATCTTTAGCAACCATGTCAGCCAGGATATGCTGCACTCCTGATTTTACTTCTTCGATGGTGGAAAGTCCTAAAGGAAAATATTTGGTTTTAAGTACTTAAGCTTTAAGGGGAGCTTACAAAATCCAAAAATCAGCTGAAGATGAAAATTATACAGCACATGCAGCAAGAATTGTTCTGATGTCAAGCAAGAGAAGGTCACACTTCTACTTACACCAGGCCTAAATGTTCCAGGCACTTCACATCCTTTTCCCAGCCACAAAAAACAAGGTTGCACATTTGTCTTCTATGCTGCACCTGAACTGAAACATTTCACAGCTAACTCAACCATATAATTCCCCTTTCACAGTCAGCCTACGTGTAACAACAACTGATGGCTTCAAACCTACTTCCTGCACATTAAAATACACTCGGAATAGGCACCTCTAGTTGTCTTTTTGATGAGTGCCAGACCTAGCCTGGTGACAAGCCATTAAGAGAGTTATACAAAAAGTGTGAACCAAGAATGTTCCTGTTGCTAAAATCAACAAGGAAGTCTTGTGGAAAACTATCATAAAGTTCAGTTAACAGTACCTCACAGCTATAGAATTCATTTTAACAAAATGTTAGTAAATATTAGCATTTTTTCCAAAAAGAAAAATCTTGTTCAAGATGAACTGGAAAGACTGTTCAGTACCCTATTTTTAAAAAGAAAATGAGTGCATTTTGCTATCTAAGATTGCCCCCTACAGATTTATCTATAATTACACTGTATTGTATAAACATTATACTCTTAACATATATCATCTCTTTCAAAATTAATTTTCTTTGTCTCAGGGGACAGAAGCAGTTAATTACAATACTTGCCCATCAACTTTATTATCATCATAATAGTATTAACTAAATTAACAAAAATCTTAGTGGCAAAAGATTAACAAGCTAACTGTTCTGTGGGGAAAGTAATAAATAATATGATTATTACAGTTCATGACTCCTTCAGAGCCCTAGGCTTGGACTATCTGGCTTAAGAGAAAGCAGATGTAGAGATTGTCTTGTCTATGATAATACTCTTTTCCTCATTTTACCTCAAAGCGTTATTGTTTCCCTGATCTAAATTAATGTTTTATTAGTAATCACTGCATACTTTAACCCAAGGTCATATCTGTGCTCCATTAGATTCAGTCTCCCCTCCTGCATGCAAAGAAAACCTTGGAATGGTGTTATGGAATGAATTACAGACCCAAACACTTTCCTTAACTCTTTCCCAAACCATCCTGTCCTATAGAAGAAAACAGAGATAACACAAAGCTATCCAAGCGCTGTTAGCAAGGAAAAAAGAGACAATAAACAACTGTGAAAACAAGATTTTAAAAACCACTTTGATTTTATATGGTAGAAGACAGGGCAGAGAGAAACTATCAAGCTTTCAAGATTCTGTTTTTGGCCCTACAGCAATAGCCAAGAGTTCCAGCAATCTTTACATTGCCTATTGTCTAACTTGATCTTTCTCAAAGAGCTGAAATCTATCTCCTTCAGTCATCTCCTTATTGATTAAGTGCAGATTTGCCTCTTTTTTATCTTTTTGAAGCACAGTCACTAATCTTTTTATAATTTATATTACAATGTGTTGAAACTTCTGTAGTTTTAATCTATGTTTGGCAGCTTACTAAAACATGGATGCAAGTTTCATTATCTTCTAAATATTTCACTAATCAGGAGGAAGCTGATGTTGTTGAGGCTCATTTGGGATCAAAGACATTTATGTATTCTTGATTTACCTCAGCCTTTTCACCCTAGAGATCTCTAGGGAGTGTAGAAAACAGCACATGCCTACTAGAAAACATGTTGCTTTATTGGAACTAACTTCTTTGTCAAAGTAAATCTCAGTCATTTTATTCAAGAGTATTAAGCATATTTAAAAACTTTTGTATGGCTGAATAAGCCTGAGGATTATTGGTGAGGAATGGAAATGTTATACATGAACAAGTAGCTTTCATACTGTAGAGAGCCAAGAATATACAGTATTTTAAAATGACAAAGGGAACCTCAGTGTATTGGGGTGGGTGGGGGGAAAGTTCTCCAATCCACTTAATAAGTTTCTGTTCATATTCAGCAAGCATCTGAAGAAAAGACATAGAGAGAATATTATCCCAAGCCAAGTTAATCTATCCAGTACTGTCTCTATTGATTATCACCAGGCCTCCAGACTTTCTAACTAGGACAATAGATAATTCAGAAAAAAGGTTGGATATGTTGCAGACAAAGCCCTTTGCTGTTTTCAAAAGGAGCTAGTGTTCACTGGCTACAAGTTTCCACCAAATTGCAGAACCATACTCAAACAACCACTCTTACTCAGTAAAATATTTCTGTTTATATACTCTTTAATACTTCTAAAAAATACATTCTTACCTTCGACATTGGACTTGACATAAAAGAGTAAGTTGAGTTCCTTTGGATTCTCAATGAGCAAGTTGGCTGCCTGTTCCAAGCCCAACTGTTTAGCTCTTTGTGCTTTAGTTCCTTTGCTTCCAGTTTTATATGGTGCATACTATAATAGATAATATCGTATAAGTCTAAGCGATAAGGGCTAGGCATATATTGTGTATGTGTTTATGCTTGCATGTGTATGTATGTAATTTTATTGTTGCAAATTTTCACATTTTAATGCTTTTTCTGTCTACAGGATGAAAACAAAGTGATGATATATAGTATATAGAATCACAGCATTATCAAGAGATCAATTAACTGGTCCAATGGGCTCCTAGGTAATTGATTACCTATATGGTAGTCCTCAACTTACAATAATTCATTTAGTAACCGTTTGAAGTTACAACGGCGCTGAAAATAGTGACATGACCATTTTTCATGCTTACGACCATTGCAGCATCCCAATGGCCACATGATTTACATTCAGATGCTTGACAACTGACTCATATTTATGACGATTGCAGAGTTCAGGAGTCATTTTGTGATGTTCTGATAAGCAAAGTCAATGAAGAACCTAGATTCACTTAACCACCATGTTACTAATTTAACAACTGCAGTGATACGCTTAACAAATGTGGCAAGTAAAATCATAAAATGGGACAAATTCACTTAACAAATTTTTCATTTAACAATATACATTTTGGGCTCAATTGTGGTTGTAAGTTGAACAGTACCTATACAGCATTTCAAGTTTTTTTTCTAACATTCAATTGGAACTTAACCTTGTTTAACTTAAATCTATCGTTACATTTTTACCTCTTGTTTTGGTCATCCCAGTGAAAATAGCCAAAGCCCTCCTGACGCGCACAGTGAGCAAGTCTGCCATATACAGTATATCTATAACCTGATGTTACTACCGGTTCAGTGACTACGTTTTGCTGTGCGCGCATGTAAAAAACCTTAAGTTGTGCCACCCGGACAGCTGAAAAGTGTTGCACATGGGTGCACAGCATTTTAAAAGCCTCTTTTTTCCTGCTTTTTCAACCTCAGCTGTGCTGAGCAAAGCAGCTGAGGTTGAAAAAGCAGGAAATAAAGGACAGGTAAGAGCCTGGGCAGGCAGGTGGGCCAAACAGCAGCAAACACAGAACTGGTTCAGTGTTTGCTGCTCTTCAGAGCTACCGGTTCTATAGAGCCAGGCAGAACCGGTAGCATCCCACCCCTGCCTATCCTTAAACTGCTTTATTTAAAAATATTATTATAGTCATCATTCTTCTTTTAACTCAGGTTAGTTCACACATGGTAAATTGTGACGTAGCTGGTTTGCTTAGCTTAGTGTGCTGTATGAAGCCAGCCAACCCTAATATTTTACCCAAATATTTTATATTTGGCATAAAGTGAGAATCTGAGTGTCACTTATTCAATAAAGAGTGACTACTCTCTCTCTCTCTCTCTCTCTCTGTGTGTGTGTGTGTATGACACCAATGCTAGGGGCAAACCCTATTGAAGTCCTATTGAAACCCACTAAATGTTATTTCTAAAGTTGGGATTATATAAGAAGGTAGACCAAGAGTGTATCCTGAAAATGAAACCCAGGCTTCCTTTAGGAAGTCTTTATTAATGAAAAAGGTCAATAATTGCTAACAATCTTTCCTGGGTAGGAATTCATTCATAACCCTTAACCTTCTCCTATGATTCATAATTCCAAGGATATTTCAAGTCTAATTTTTAGAGTACATGTTTATAGCATAATTCCATATGCTTATGAAAATATAACACTGAGTTTTATGAGATTTCCCACATTGGTGGGGAGGGGAGGGGAATAGGATACCAGTCTTAGTTCATAGGGAGCAAAAATGTGGATGTCAAATCTAATGACTTATAAAAGCCAGCTTCAAACTGTTAACTAATGTTCTGAGCAAATGCCTTCTTCAAAGGCAAAGAATTTTCATATTTCTGTACACGCTATACTGCCTGAAAGGAGAGAAATATTTCAGCTAAGGCTAAAGCAGTCTTAACTCAATTTTCACTCTGTAGACTAGCAAACAACACTTTTAACACTTACTTCTTTTTCATTTCAGATCTATTTTAGTTCCAATTGGTATAATAGATTTTGAATAAAAAATGCATTGGTGAAATTCAAGGAGCCATCTTTACAAATAATAATAATAACTACGGTTGAAACCTATATTTAGCAAAGCTTAATGAGACATAATTTTGCATGCAACAGATCAAACTTCATGCTTTTCATCACTAGTATAATGCTATAATGATGCAAATAATGTAAAAATAATATACACGGCATTAATACTAAAAGCCCTATGATTTTACTGCACTTCCGGTAACCACCATGAGCCTTGACTCTTCCTTCCTTTTTATGCTTTTGGTAATTTGCCTTTACAACTCTCTCTTGCCTGAGAGAATAGCTTGTATCATATATGAACCAGGGCTGAGCCATATTTCAATAGCTCAGTAATGTGATGAATTAAGAGATCTCGCAGAGAAAAGTTAAAATCTTAAACTGTGTAGAACTGTTATTAGATAATATAGTAATGATCTAACCTAGTATAAAATGGCTTCTAAAAGATTATGGCGACAATTTCCATAAAAGAGTTCAGCAATGTTAGGAAATAAATCCAATGCACAATAAGGTAAATGAAAATTTGCATTAAGATATTATACTAACCACATGGTCCAGCTCCTCCAAAGTTTTACAGTTTAATAATGAAGTTAAAACACTTTCTGACAGCTTTCCTTCTTTTTCAAGTTTTTGTATTGAGACATGAACCTTTTTTGCTAAAGTCCTAAAACCAAGCATAGATAGTAGAATTAAAAATTTGTATTCAATAGCATTTATATAAATCCTATTCCTAACTTTGCTGCATCCCTAAGGCAGTATCACCTCAGTGTGAAACCTTCCATATATATATTGCTCAAAGGGACTCTCAGACTAAACTGTTCTGTTGGCTCAATAGAAAAGGCACTTTCTTAAGTGAAAATCATAACCAATGCATGAGTAGTTCCTTCTTGTAGAAATACAGTTAATCAGTTTTCACTGAGAAAGAGTTTTCAAGTTAATCACTTAAATGAAAACATACCCTTTTATTTAAATTTTCCTAAGAGATACAATGAAGAGCTATTAAAAGTCAGAATGGGAAGATTAGATGGTCCACAGTCTCACATACTTAAAACTGCCCATTTCTTGAGTGTAGTACGAAAGAAGAAAATGGAAGAGTTGGATTCTGATAATTACTCACAGTTTCATGTTATACCCAAATCTTGGATCATTTATATAATTGAGTTTTAAACAAATTTATTTTCATTTTCTTGAATTTTAAAGAAAACTAAAATCAAAGCTAGTTTTGCTTTTTCCATTGCATTTACCTCGCTCATGATAATACTGGCCATGCAAGTGACTGAAAGTAGAGAAGGAATTGCTGACAGATACTATTGGATGACACTTCTGTCCCAAGAATTGCGGAATTGCTAGAAAGCTTCGAACCTTTTTCTTAAAGGCAGAGCTCTATTCTAGTTGGCCAAAGCATAAGGGTTGTCAAGTTCTCTAACAACTGCCTAAGAAGAAAGTGATCCTTTCCAACAAAGTTTCTCATTGAATCTCTTTGTCAAGATTCATTGAGAAAAAATGTGGTTACAAAATCTCCAGTAGATGAACAATTTTCTACTTAGAATCAGCTTTGGGGCAGAGATTTCAAAACTTTTTTTCCCAATTGGCTTCCCTGATATAGAGAGGCAATATTTTCACTGATAACTGCAAAGTTTGCAGATGGCTGCTTATATCATAATATTTTGTATCAATCCAGGAATGTTAAAAAGAAGCCTCTCCATGATTGGACATCAGACAAGATCTGTAAGCTTTCCTCCATGAACTCCTCTGTTAACACTCTAACAATACTGCAGTAATTGCTTAAGTACTGCTTACTCTCTCTTTCTACCCCCATCCCAATGCTTTAATACATACTGTAGTTCTTCCATTATTTGTTGCACCTCACGCAGCACATCAGCTTCCAGATTATTGATAAGTTCCTTTCGATACCGAACGATGAAGGGGATTGTATTATCATCATTGAAAAGCTTGATTATATTGGCACACACCCATGCTTCAATATCAGTCCTTTGTGACAAAACCTGCAACCCACAGTAAAAAGGCCAAAGTATGACGTTCTCTCAAAAGATTCTGAAAATGTTAAACTTGGAGAAGAAATGGTTATGGCTATCATCTTACAGCAATTTACTTAATAAGGCAAACATACAAGAATAACTATATTTATTTACAAACTTCACTCATTTCTCATTCTTAAAGCCATATCCCCAAAATGATTCAAATGAGAAATAGGCCTGACTCATTCAGCTTAGCTTTTTTTCTAGAAATCCTGAAAATCTGAAGAGTGGAAAGGAGGCAAAATTCTAAGTATTGGGAGGATCTTCATCATTATAAAAGTGTACTTGAATATTCCCTTTCTCAGGTATTAGTTACTTCATAAAAAGAGAATGGGAAAAACACCTTTGTGGTTGCTACTCATCTGAGAGTTGACTCAACCAGTGTAACAACCAGTTCGGTGAGTGTGTGCTTTGCGCGCAGGCAGAGGGTTTGCTACTGACCTCCTGCAATCCTGCACTCTCCCTGTGTCTTCAACAGCTGACGCGCGGCAATCCGCTGTGCCACACGAAGCAGCTGAGCTTGAAAAGCAGAAAATAAAGGTCAGAATACAGCTGGGATGGGAGGGCAGGCCCAGTAGCTGATCGTTGGAGTAAACTGGTACGCTCACAGATATTCTCAAAGCTACCGGTTTGGTCAAACAGGGCCAAACTGGTAGAATACCAGTACTCTTAACACAGTATCTTAATTGCATTTCCTGGGGTACTAATAGAAAAAATGTTTACAGGTATTGTCAATCCAGTTTCAAAAGTAAGATTTTTGAACTGAGAGCCACACTCCAAATGTTGAGAATCCTAACATGCCCACAAAATGTCTGTTATAGTTCCCGTGATCAGGTGCAAGCATCCATTCATTTACCAGAGGAGCAGTTCTGTACTGTGGCGTTCGGAAAAGACTGAGCTGAAGTCTTCACTCTGGTCTGTGTTTCCAGCGGGAACATGGACAGTTCCTATTGGCTGATGCCATTTGACAGCTGGCTATAAAAGGGAGCTGTCAAACGGCATCAGCTGTTGTCCGCCAGCTGGCTGCCTTGTTAGTGCGGCAGCAGCGGCAACCCTTTATTGTTACAATAAAGTAAAAGCTGAAGTTTGCTCCGTGTTCACCTCAGTTATTTCGCCGCTCCACAACATGTACACTTTCTACAATTTAGCTTCCACTAACTTTTCTCTTTTCCCAGCACTTTGGCCTACTGTAACTAATCAATGTTGGGAGGGAGGGAGGAAGGGAAGAGGATTAGAAGCTTCTTAGAAATAAATAAAACCACTGAAGCAGATATTTGCTAGAATGGAGGAGAAAAGAAGGGGGAGAGAAATTTAAGCCTCGTAGATATAAATAAAATCATTGATGAGGATGTTTATTAGAATGGCAGCTTCCTTTAAAAATTACATTAACAAATACAGTTAAACAGTTTCAGAAATTGAGAAAAAATGTTTATTACATAATGGGGGCACATAGCATCAAGCTGCCTACCATGCTCTTGGAAATGTGTGAGATGCTGAATGAAGTTTCACCACCCACTAGAAACAGGGATGTCAAAATCACAATGACACAGCATTGTCACATAACATATCTCAACTTTCCCTCCCTTTGCTAAACCAGGGATGGGCCTGGCCAACACGTGATGCATTCGGCCCTTGGACTGCAAGCTTGATACCTCTGCACTACAACAATTAGTATTTTTTTCTTTTAAATTACAAGACAAAAAAGAAATAGAAGGAACCCTTATTCATCTGGTAAACAGTGATAAATCTTTCCTTCCCCAATATTCTCCAAAGAGCCCTGGTGGCACAGTGGTTAGAATGCAGGACTGCAAGCTAGTTCTGCTGCAGCCAGATGCCCGCAATTTGGCAGATCGAATCTCACCAGGATCAAGGTTGACTCAGCCTTCCATCCTTCCGAGGTAGATAAAATGAGGACCCAAATTGTTGGGGGCAATATGCTGACTCTGTAAACTGCTTAGAGAGGGCTGTAAAGCACCATAAAGCAGTATATAAGTCTAAGTGCTATTGCTATTAAAAGACAATGTGTATGTTCCCCAAAACACTCAGAAAATTGAAACATGCCTCTCATTTCAATGTGATAAAAATGGAGCTGGAATATATTTTTACTACAGCGTACCAAACTAAGATTGATCTTGCATGTTTTCTTTTACCACTTTTTAAATCCTGGAATATTTTCTAATCTTTCACCAGCAAAAGTTGAAGTCAACATTGAAAAAAATTCTTTCATATTTTTTCTTTTACTTGCAAGTAACAAAAGAACATTTTTGATATTTTCTTATGAAATATAATACTAACTGTAAGCTTCCTGTTCCATAGCTAATGCTCAGGATAAATTCTTATTATAAAGAGAGAAGACAATGTGGTTTGTTTTATAAAAATAAATACTTTTTGGAATACATCCAGATGAGGTATTATATCAGAAATAAAATGGATGTACATCTTCATTCTAGAGAGTTTCCTCCAACAGTATAGATATATGTTAGTTCTGTTATAAAAATCAAAGCACTACATACCTCTACAATGTCCCAGTTCATGTTATGGTCCCCATTCAGTTTGTCACCTGCCACATATTTTACAGATTTCTCCTGAGGACATCCTGTTTTAAATTTTTTTAAGGGAGGTTCATCAAATGTAAAATCTTCTTCAGACTCTTCCATCTTAATTTTTTTTTTAGACACTGCAGCACTTGTGGATGGTTCATCTTCATTTACTGAGCCGGATTCACCTTTAATGCCGCCAACTTTCTTCACTGCGGGTTTTTTGGTTGAACATCTCATTGTGACATCTTCCTCTGTCTTTTTTTCTGTTTCTCCAGGTATGGCAATAGGCAAAGGTAAGTCCTACTCAAACCACCAAAACATATTAAGAGATATTAATATTGACCACAGGCAGTCTGAACATAAACAACATCAGTGACTTACTACATATCGTCATACCCTTTAGGATGGTGGAGGAATGGAACTAATGTAATCGAGTGGGGGAAAAGCTACTATAGATATCTGCATTCTGCTTAGTAAACTGTAAGTGCAGAAAACATGAGTGCCTCAGGAAGGACCATTGCTACCCTGTCTGACTACAGGTCAACAATCAGAAGCACCTGAAGATAACTGCTCTTAAAGCCAACCTACTTTCTCCTTTAATCCAAGATTCAAGATCAAATGTGAATCGATTTTCAGGCACATAGTTGGAACAGAAAAATGATTATCTGTAATATAATTTGCTTTCTATGGTAACAGATTGCAATTAAGAGTATCATGTACCATGTATATAGCTCCAGCAGCATTATTTGGGATTGCCTCTTCCCAGCGGGTTTTTGCCTATCTAGTAAGATCTAGAAGGGTAGGCTCCTATTGGGTCCTTACCCAGAAAGAAAGGAAGACAATGGTAGTCCATGTCTACTGTTGCTGCACCCCCACCCCCCTTTCTTCACTTATGATCATTTGTTCAGCAAGAGTTTGTGATGGTGCTGAACAAAGAGGACTTATGATGGGTCCTTGGAAGTTCTGGACATCACAGCACCTCCACAGTCATGTTATTGTAATTTCTGACATTCCCTACTGATTTCCCACAAGTCAACAGGGAAGCCTATGGGAACTGGTCCTTGCTTAATCACGGCAAACAGGACTGTTGGAATAGTCATTGACACTCACCTTTACCATCACTTAACTTAGTACTGGCAATTCTAATCCCAACTGCTGTTGTAAGCCAAGGACTATTTGAATGCTTTCCAGCAGGACTTGAATTTTGGTTGTTGTTCCTTGATACAGTACGACAGTATGATATGAGCAAATTATAATTTCTATTTGATTTATAATAAGAAGCTCCAACATACATCCCAAAGGTTCAAATGCAAAAGTATTAGCATGTTTAAAGGAATTTCACATCAATTATGCTGGATCAGTTACAGAGGTTAAAGTAAGTCAGGAAAAAACATAGGGCAGATTTTTCTTGCATGTAGCTCAGTGTCCATGCATTTAGAGTTCCCATTTTTCCATTCCAATAACTTATATAATTTAGAAATTTCTAGGTAAATCAGGTTGTTGGATTTATGCAAAAGAACTGAACCAAATCAGGGGAATTTGAAATAGTGACGAACACAGATAAATCTCCACAATATAATCTTTGCCTTCTCTTACTCCCTCTCAAATGTCTTGAAAACTAAATGGCTTCCTAGCTTCAATTACTTACCGGATCCTCTTTTATCGCTAGCTTCTTAGTACCTTTCTTAGCTACAGTGGGTTTCTTCTTGGTCACTGATTTTTTCTCAACTCTTGGTACTTTGGGTTTTGGCACTTTGGCCTTATGTGAGACTTCCTTTTTGGGGACCCATTCCTCTTCATATTGTTCATCTTCTGACTCTGAAGATCTGCACAAGAGATGGGGAAGTTTGTAATAAATGGGATTATACAGCGCGCTGTCCTTAAAATACGAGGGATTTTAACAAAGGAGTTGCATGCATTTAGATGCTAAAATGTATATGTTGCCCTAGACAAAAGACTTGCATCAGTCACAATTCACAATCAGTAAATTCTCAATCAGTAAATGAATTTATGACAACAAAATATCAAAATTCATGGTGAAAGAAAACTTATCTTTTATTTATAACAAGTGACAGAATGCCAATCACACTTAATCTGTGAACCTTATTGCCTATCTTTAGAACAGTCTTTCCCAACACCTGAAACACCTGTTTTTTCAAAGTTCCCATAATGTTCTAGAAAGAAATTGCAGCAATGCATTGTGGATACAATAGTAGCCAGTTAGCTATTGCCACTAGCAATTTTGTTGGAGAAGCATTCCATTGTTACACAAAGTTATACAATTTTAAGCAATTACTCATAGCCTGGTTTTGTATTTTGAGCTTGCAATCAGCCCATTGATTCAAGCATTTTTGCAATCAACTCACAGCAAGCTTTTTCTGCATAGATTTCACAAACTAAAAGAATAAAAAAACCTAACAAAACCAGCAACAGCATTTAATAAGTGCACTAAAAGAACAATTCTTCTATTTCTATCCCTAAATTCCATATCTAGGATATAGCAAACATTTTAATTTGCATGGATAAATTCCATATTTATGTTTATCCATTTTCCCCTTTCTTGTTTTCACATCATGAGCTCACAGGAGAGCAGAAATCAAACACAGAAACAGTGAACATAGTGAAGCAGTATGCAAAAGATCCTGTTGATTTATCTGATACTCTCACTCTTTCAAACTTATTGGTTTTGTTAGGCTTTATGAGCAAGTCAAACAAGCCAGGTATTATCAGTGTATGTGTACACACTTATTGCCTGTAAACTTCAGCAAATCCCAAAATGCTGCAAATAGTACTAGATGCCCTAATATCAACTCCAGGTACAAAGATTGAATAGAAATTAGAACACACTCATCATAAATTTTAACTCACGATTTAAGGAAGGAAGGTAGTTCATCTTTTGAAATGTCTAGTTTTACTGCAGTTCTTTTCCGTTTAGAAACTGCTGACATCTGAGAAAAGAAAAATAGTTTTATTTGTGAGTTTTTCCCTATTCCTAAGAGACTGCAAAAATACAGATGGAGATTGCAAATCTGATATTTTTGAATAGGCATCACTGAATATCTGTATCAACAACAGATTTGAAATATGAAATTGAAAAATCTCCTCCGATTTTATATACATCTGAAAGCAATATACATAGGAACAATATCCCCTTAGCTTTCATTATCTTTTATGTTCTCTGTGTATGGATCTTTAAGTAATCACTAGTACCATCCATGTACAAGAAAGAAGTAGCTGTAAGCTAGGAAAAATCACTCTGAGGCCATGTCTAAAGTCTTAGATGTAGAATGTGAAACATTTAAATCTCCATTCATCAAGTCAGCCTAACAGGTTTCACTGGATTTGGGGGAAGGTAACATGAAGTACCTTAGTTCTTAAATGAAATAAGAAATAAATTAAGAAATTGCAAAGTTTGAAGTATGTGTGTGTATGTAAAGGGACAGATAACAAAACAACCTAATAAAGATGGAAAATGGCAAGCAGTCATAAAATACAGATCATGAAGAAAAAGACCTAGAAGAATGGAGAATGAAGATGAATTTGCATTTTTATTTTTTTGTTGGCCATGCATAGACTGCTACATAGTTATATCCATGTATATATTAATTGTCATTTCCAGCCCCTGAAAGCTTAAGACACAAAAAGAATGCCCATTAGAGGTAGAGGTAGTCCTCCACTTACAACAGTTCATTTAGTGACCATTCAAAGTTACAACAGCACTGGAAAAAGTGACTTATGACCGTTTTTCCCACTTGCAACCTTTGCAAGCATCCCCATGGTCTCATGATCAACATTCAGATGCTTGCCTGATTAGTGGTTCATATTTATGACGGTTGCAGTGTCCTGGGGTCTGACAAGCAAAGCCAATGGGGGAAGCCAGATTCACTTCACAGAAATTCAGAAATTTTGAGCTGAACTGTGGTCATAACTCCAGAACGACCTGAATTTCACTGTAGGGAAGTACTTAATGAATACGGTGTAAGAAAAAAGGCTGGCGCAATAATGATTTGGATTACTACAAAGCAGTTGTCAAACATTTTGGTTTCAGGACTCCTACATTCTTAGAAATGATAGAGGATCCCATTTGGTTTATGTGGGCTTTAAATATCACAAAATGTAAAAATATTTGACTTCACAGATCCTCTGAAAGGGTCTTGGGAACCTCCAAATTATACTTTGGGAACTATTGCTCTAATCTAAGCTGCCCACACATTTGGCAACAACACAACACATAACACATGGTGGATATTTTTGACTTAGTCTAGGTGCAGTACATGGAAAATTCACTTAGGCCTAGGAGAAGGGCAGATAGCAAAAGTCTCTCTTGTTTTGCTAATTGAGTCTTTGGGATAGCAGAAGACAACAGAGATGTGGATTGAGCAGAAAGGAAGTAGCTAGAAAATTCTCTCGATGAAGAGTGGGTGCGTGGGTTCCTGGCCCTCCCTGTAATTCAAACTGGTTTGACAACTTTGTGGCTCAGAGAGAGAAAGCCTTACTTTGAAAGCTCTGTTTTCAACACACTTCTGCTCTTGTCATAGGAATTCAAACACAACAATATTCTTTACTTTTCTTTTAGCAGGGGAATCCAGATAAACAATTCATCATTCTACTGAGGGATTCCGGATTAGCTTTCTTCCCTTTACTCAGGGATTTCAGATCTCGCCATCCTTTTACACTTCTGGGCTTCAGGAATTCAGATTTATACCATCCTTTTACTATTCTGTCCTCTATAATTGCTGGCTGAATGTATAAAGGCAGACAGATAACTCCACAAAGCATCCATACAAAGTCTTTTTATTGGTTCATCAGGCATCCTCAATATAACTTACAGTTACGTTGAGATTCATCTCAATGTCCAAGTCTTTGCATAGCTAACTTTCTGGTGTAAAAGGATGGTAATCTTTTATCCCTTTCATCCCACATCATAGGAGCAGGGGTAGAGATGCTAGCACGAGGTTGGCAAGAGTGAAGAAACCTTCCCCAACCTACCAAGGGTCAATTCAGTGACCAATCAGGATTACAGATGTGGCCACATGACATGGACAACATTTCCCAGGATACCTTAACTACATTTACCATGATGCATTCCCTTAAGGGGACAGCTCCCAATTCCTAACTATCCCAATTCCCATTAACTATATACTGGCTGGACAGCACAGGATCCCATGTGGTTTATGTGGGCTTTAAATATCACTATTTACTCTATTATAAATTAAAACAAAAATGTAAAAATATTTGACTTCACAGATCCCCTGAAAGGGTCTTGGGAACCCCAGGGATCTCCAAACTACACTTTGAGAACTATTGCTCTAACCTAAGCTGCCCACACATTTGGCAAGAACACAACACATAACACATGGTGGATATTTTTGACTTAATCTAGGTGCAGTACATGGAAAATTCATTTAAGCCTAGGAGAAGAGCAGATAACAAAAGATGCAAGTACCCTTACCTTAGAGTAGAGAAAGTCCAAGGGAAGCACAGAGAACTGTAGCCCTTTTAGAAGGAAAGAAGGTAGGGGTGTGTGTTTGTGTGTGTGTAAGTAAATAAATGATTTGGGCTTTGTGATATGTTGCAACTGATCCTTGGACAACATAAAACACTAACCAGATGGGCTTTTGTCATGCTCTAGACAAGCATTTTGCGTGTTTTTGCGTATGTAAGGAGGAGGAGCCTCTGGAGCCTGTGGAATACATGTTGTATTAATATGTGTGCCTTATTACTATGCATATCTTATTGATATGCCTGTCTTATTAGTATGCATGGTCCAGAGTATTTGGAAACCAATTCTAAAGCAATGGAGCCATGGACTAGTTGCATGGTTGCTCTAACACAAGGATCTTCTTCAAACTTGGCAAGTTTAAGACTTGTGGACTTCAACTCCCAGAATGCCTGAGCTAACATGACTGGAGGAGGAATTCTGGGAGTTGAAATCCACAAGTTTAGTTTAGTTTATTGTCACTGCACCTCGTACAATGAAATTAAGTACCACCTTCAGTGTACATTATGATGACGAAAATACACACAAACACACATCCTTCACATTCTATACAATTGAATTGAAAACACCTTATATTACATTAATATTGCACTATACAGTAGAATTCAATAAGAGTTACTGCCCTGGGATAGAAGCTGTTTTTCAGCCTATTTGTCCTTGTTTTTAATTATTCTGTAGTCTGCCAGATGGTAATAGTTCAAAAAAAAGGGGGGGGATGCCCTGGATGAAATGGATCTTTGAGAATGTTTTGAACTTTCTTAAGGCAGCGGGAGCTATAAAGCTCTTCCAAAGAAGGGAGAGGGCAACCAATGATCTTCTGGGCAATGACATTAACCCTCTGGAGCAAGGGTCTTCAAACTTGACAGCTTTAAGACTTGTAGACTTCGTACAGACACCTCTTCAAAAATCATGTTCCTTTTATATATCATTCCATATCTTATTACCGTTTTCCATTTTCTATATAGCTTCTTCCTTTTTTTAACTCTCTTAATTTTATTCTACTTATCTCAGTTCAAGTCATAATACTTAACATTCTTTGTCTGTTCTCAACTATCCATTCATTTTTTCTCTTTAAACAAAACCTCTCCTGTGCACTAATTAGAGTATGACGCCTTTAACTCTTTCCCCTAACCTGATAATACTTAATATCACACATAACTTGTATTGGGATTCTGTTTAGCACATCCTAAAGTCACACAATATATTATATAAAGAGAAAAAGAAAAATTTTAATCGTACCTATTAATACTTATTTATATATTTATATCTTAAACATTTTATTCTATAAATGCCTATAATAACACAATCTTATGTACCTTACAGAATCCCTTTTTCAATTAAATTTACCCATTGTCTATAAATAAATTTTGTTTCTTCAAATCTTGCTTCCCATCATTGAGACTTCTCACCCGCTCCTTTCTCCCTTGCTTATTCTTTTCCTTACCCTGTTCACCCCTTTTTTTTTTCACCTCCCTTTTCTTCTTGTGCTTTCCCCCTTCCTGTTGTTTCCTAATCTTATATCCACCCTTCAACTCATTTTTATCTTTTTTGGTTGTTTTTTTAAATTTTAAAATCCCCTTTTCCTTTTCCTCTTCCTCCTTCTTCTCCCCCAATAGGGTCACATGTTCATCAAAAATAGTTCCTTCTTTGTCCCAATTATCCTGCTGCGCAATCAATTCTCCATAGGAATGCACCGCCATTTCTAGAGATTGAAAAAGAATGTCCAAGGTATCTTTCCAGTCTTGTTCTTCCTTTTTATGTTTTAGATATTCAGTTTTAAATTCATCCAAAAGTGGTGCCATTATGAAGAGGAAAATTTTTTCCCAAAACAACCACTCGAGTGTTTTTAAACAAAGAAAAAAAAGTTTCCCAAAAGATGCAAAGTCACCAAACAATCCAGATAAACTATTTCATTTAGCACTTTTTCCCTTCTTCCATTTCTTTTTCTGGGGTTGCTATTAAATCACAAAATTCCAATTATAATATGTCTTTTGAAGTCTTATTAATGTTCAAATGGCTCTTTAAAATTCTAGGCAGTCTGCTCTTTATTTTCAACTTCAATTTTTTTTCCTCTCCCTTCCCACTCACAGCAGAAGAAAAAATTTTCTTTAAATATTTAGAAATCCATATCCCTTTGGCATTAGCACAGTCTTTAGCATTTAGCATACCTTCAATGCGGGTTTCCGATTTCTCTCAAAGCTGTTCCGTTTGGAAGGAGAGTGAAAAGAAAAAAAGTTTTCCCTTTGATATCCATTCGCTGCTTACTCAGTCTGGGAACAATGTGTCTTTAGTAGGTGTTAAATACCAGGATACTTTCACTGTTCCTTTGTCCCGGTCAGCAAAATCAGTTTCATTTCTTCACAAACCCCTCCAGCACATTTCTTTCCCCGGCTGGGCTCTTCTAAATGGCGGCCATAAAAGACCGCCGTTCAGTTGCCGTCGGAGAGGGAGATTTAGCCGGCTAGGGAAGAGAGATGCGATGTCTCTCGTCCCTGCCAGAACCCCCCAGTCTTCACCACCTTCTACAAAGGTGGCTTAGCCCCGAAGCCAAATGGCTCGAGGCACTCAGGCAGTGAACACAGGCAGAAACCGTGCAGTGCCACGGATTCCTGCCTGCACTGAAGAACCACAAGCCGGAAGTTTTAACCCGGGATCAAGCAACTTTCAGAAAAAATGTTTATGTTTTTATGTTTTATGTCTTGTTTTTTTTCTTATTGGAAGAGAATAATGAAAATGTATAAGACAGATGGATATAAAAAATGTATACAATTTAAAGTTAAAGAGATATAATTTGAATAAATAGAAGGAAAAGAAGTAATAAAGAGAAGTTTGGGATAAGATATGAAGATGAACAGATAAGGTAAATATATATATCAAATTGTGCTTGTTTGGAAATGTGATAACTTGGAATAATTCTGTCTTTAAATAAGTTGTTGTATTGGCTTTTTAAGAAAAAAAAAATTCTTATGTCATTATATTTTATGTTTTGTTTGTCTGTGTATTGTTTTGGAAAATCAATAAAATTTGTTCAAAAAAAAAAAAAGACTTGTAGACTTCAACTCCCAGAATTCCTCCTCCAGTCATATTAGCTCAGGAATTCTGGGAGTTGAAGTCCGCCAGGCTTAAAGTTGCCAAGGTTGGAGACCCCTGCTCTAAAAGACCAATTCCTCCTCATACTCGATATTTCATAAACCAGCAAAACTCCTGCAACCCCGAACTGCAAGGATAACGAGAATAAACATATATTTTTAAAAAAATCAAAACAGATGGATAGCAACTCTCATGAACCGAGCAACCCCAGAGGGGTTTCCACGTTCGGCACCTCCCTGAACGCCGCAACCTTCTACAATTCACCTTTTTCCGAGCTTCGGCTACGGGAGGATAGGAAACCTCGCCGCTTTGTTCCGCCTTCCCTTTGACAAGCCTCCGTTCACATTTAAAACCGGCGCCAGCCGCAACTGCAGCAAAACCCAGCCGTTCAAAGCGGAGGAAGCAGCGACCCGACGAAGGGGAGGAGCAGGAACTACGCATCGAAGCAGCTCCAGCAGCCGTCGGCGACAACGAAGTCCCGGCGAGTCGCTTCCTCTTCGGATTAGCCCGAGTTTTGCTTTTGTTTTTCCTTCAAACTTGTCCACTTTAAACTATATGGACTTCAACTCCCAGAATTCCCCAACCAGCGTGTGACAATGAAGGCGGCGGGAGTGGCGCGCCCTGACCTTTCGGAGACGCTCTAGCGAAAGCGGAGATCTAACGCGATGCCGATGGAAAAAATCTTTCCCCTGTGCTCCTTGGCTCTGGTTTAATAAGCTAACAAGCGTGAAGAGCTAACTTCCAACAGAAAATATTTCTGCTGTTTTTCCCGTTTGGCCACTAGGTGCTCCAGTTTACTAGGCTTCTAGTCTGGAGCTTCAGTCCATTGTTTATTTCATACAGAGATCTCCAAGCTATGCTGGCTGGAGAATTCTGGGAGTTGAAGTCCACAAGTCTTAAAGTGACCAAGTTTGGGGACCCCTGATTTAATAGGTGTACATCTCACCAACAGGTTCTTCCAAGCGTTCTAACATTCCGTGTCCATGTTATTCCTAGGCAATAGGGGGGCAGTGAGTTGTTTTGGAATTCCCATTTTTTCTAAGCACATTCCACAGCTTGACATGGCCCACAAGGCTTCTGCCCTCTCCTTTTCCATATAGGATTGGCTCTAATTGCCATCAACAATCCTAAGTGTTATTTTGCTGTCCTGTGAAATAGAGGATGTTGTGTAATAGTTTGCACATTCTGTTAAGTCTTTTGTTGTGTGTCTCCCTGAAGACATCTCTCCCTTCCACCAGAGTGGATGAGATAGCTGTGTTTCCAGATCCCTTAAACATTGCCATCTTGTGGGTCCTCAGAAGCATGGCTTTTTTGTTGCAGTTTCTATCTTAGACGCACACCCACATACTGAAAATCTAATACATCCCTGCCTTCTATCCTTCTGGAGAGCACTTTAAAACAGGCCCTGTTTTAAATACCCCTGGCATTGGGATGAGGTCAGGGTGGAATGAGAATGTGGGTGCATCAGAGAAGTATAGCTCTGGTTTCAGGTTTTTCTGTTTTTAGTTTTATTGTTATTGGTCACTGTTTCTTCTCTAGATTTGCTGGTAAGCTTGTTTAGAACCATTACTGAGCCTTTTCCTTTTGCTTGCCTTGTTTCTGTGGGTATTCCATCAGTTCCAATAGGCTTTTGAATTGGTAATGAGTATGATCTAACTTCATCTTCTTGTATCTTTGATACTGACTTCTCTACTGTACAGTATTTCAATATATGCCTTCCATCTTCTTTCGATCTCCTTTGAATCAATTATATTCTATCAAATGGTGTTCTTTGGCATACCAATTCAAGGTATGAAACTCCTTCAAAGGTCTTTTTTTAGGAGGGGGGAAGTTTTCCTTGTTCTTCTTTGTCTGTTTTCATCTTCAATGTTTTCAAGATGGTTTTGTAATACTGCTTGTCTCTTCTAATAGCTCTTTGAAATTCTTTGTTAAATTCCTTCCTGAGGTTCTTGTCTCTTTTTGTCTTTGGTGTCTCTTCCCTTAGTAGTTTCTACTGTTTGTTCTGACATTTAGTTGTTTGTTTGTTTCTTGATCTCTTTTCAATATTTATCCTTAATCGTCTTTAAGCTCATTCCAGGTTCCTCTGGTTGTCTATCAATGAGGACCAGGACTTCAAACAATTCCTGAAGTTCTCTTTGAAAATTGGCATATGCTCAGGATCATAATCTGGAAATTGGTAGGGAGTTTTTGTTCTACTTTAGCTTAACTTGGAACTTTTATATGAGAAGTTTGTGATATGTTTACTGTCAGCACCTGGTCATGTCTTCGATGCTATAATTGAGGTCATCTACCTCCTAGCCAATTTGGTTTCTATAAATTCCCTCATGTATACAAGCATTGTTCTGTTGCTTAAAAACAATGTTAGCTATGAAGAAATCACTGAAATGGCAGAAATTAGTAATTTGTTCTACTTCATTTTTGCTTCCTAAGCCATATAATGCAGATACACTTTCCTTTTTAGTATTTCCAAATTTGGCATTCCAGTCTCCTATCAAAATCAGCCAACCTTGTTTTCATGTTCTGTTAATTTTAAATTGAACTTGATCATAAAACTCACCAGCCTCTTCTTCTTCATGAATTAGTGTACAAACATAGATAATCACCATATTAAAGGGTTGTCTATAAAATTTAATCGACATTGGTCATTGAATGGTAGCCAAGTATTGTTCTTTCTACATCCTTCCTAAATATAAAAACATTCAGTGTTCTTTCTTTATCATGTCCAAAGTGGTAAACTGTGTGATCCTCTGATAGAAAGTGCCCAATCCTCAATTCACCAATACCTAACATGTTAATTTATAGTTGTTTCAACTTTCACTATATTGAGCTTTACTGTGATCAACACCTTCCTCCTGTTTTCTCTATAACAACAACCCTGTGCGAGCAGATTGGGCTGAGAGAGAGTGACTGGTCCAAAGTCACCCAGCTGGCTTTCATGGCTAAGGCAAGATTTGAACTCACAGGGTCCTGCTTTCTAGCCTGGTGCTTTAACTACTAAACCAGACTGGCTTTCAGGAACTAGACATCCCAAAAGCTTTAACTACCCATATCATGCACGCCATTAGTACTCCAAAAGATCCTTAGTCCTTCCCCAGCACTGAGTGCCATCAGACCTGAGGGATCTATCATCCAACACTACATTATTAATTGTCTAATTTCTACCCATGTGGTTTTTGTGGTAAAAGTACAGGAGTGATTTACCATTATTTGCTGCACAGTATAAATTGATGCCTTTGCCATCGTTACAAAAATAATCATTTGCTTCTGATATCTTCTTATATGATTGCTATCCAAACTAGATGCCTCTTACCTTTGCTGGGGAGCTGCGATGACCTTCATAACTTCTTATGAGCAACCTGTTAGGAATATATATTCTTAGTGTACATCGCCAGCATTCTTTGTTCATTCCTCCAAGGAACATCCCCCCTCAACACTGCCAACACAATGAAGCAGTACCATAGGGGTGAATTAGTGAAAAAAGAAAAAAAATTATAAACAGTTCAGCTTTGAATAACTTGGCTGTCTTATTCAAGGGTTGGATATAAGATGAAACCCTAGGAAGCCATGGAAGAAGGCCATGGACTTCATGTTGTGAAGTCAAGTTTGCATAATGGCTATTCGAACTGGAGAAAGGGGAGACATGATACCAGTCTTCCAATATTTGAGGGGCTGCCGCAGAGAGGAAGGGGTCAAGCTATTTTCTAAAGCGCCTGTAGGCCACACAAGGAATAATGGATGGAAACTGAACAAGGAGAGATTTAACCAGGAAATAAGGAGAAACTTTCTGACAGTGAGAACAATCAACCCATGGAACAGAATTTGCCCTCAGAAATTGTGGGAGTGCCATCACTTGAGACTTTCAAGAAGAGATTGGACTGCCATTTGTCAGAAATGGTGTACGGTCTCCCGCTTGGGTGGGGGGTTGGATTGGGTGATCTACAAGGTCCCTTCCAACTCTGATTATCTATATCTGTATCTGAAAGGTCTTAAGACATAAGAATGTTGGAGTGTTCAAGAAGCCATTGATAAATACCAACCATAGGCTGGTCATTAAGTAATGATATAGTACACAGGTCCAACGGTCCATGGAATGCCAAAAACTGGGCCACACAAATAAGCAAAGCCACAAAACCACAACCCCTCCAGTCCATGGAAAAGCCTCCCTCCAGAACTGGTCCCTGGTGCCCCAAAGTTTGGAGGCTGCTGACATAGTATATCAACTCAACAATTGATCATATGGAAACCACTGACAAGATTGTCAAGATTTTTTTTTATTGGATTCTCTACTTATGTTCTTAATAAGTAATCTAAACATATTTTCATATTGTCATTGCTGTGAACAAATATCAATGCATAATTGCAGATTTATGAAAATCAAGCATCTGCTGTAAAGATTTAGCAGTAGACAAATCTAAAGTTGTAGGAGCAAATGTAAAATTATCCCAATATAATCTTTGAACAAAAAAATATCCATGATCTTTCTGTAAGTATGCAAATACAGGGTGTGGATAAAAATAACCTGTTGTAAATGTAAATGGTGTAGCTATTTTTATATTTTGTTAAAATGTATTATGGAAGGCTTGCGTACAACTCCAAAATAGCTGTCTGCGTCATCAACTTCCGGCAGTGCTTTGCAGTAGAAATCTGTTTTTATATTATGCAAAACCAGTTTAATTCCTTGTTGGAATTGAGATTGAGCCAGCAAGTCTGTACTGAGTTATTAAATGTAGAATATAGTAGTGTTATGAATATCTGAGGGTCCAATCAATAAACACTTGTACTGGAATTAATGTACTGCACTCAAGATGGCAACAAAAGCATTATTTAACAAGAGGGAATGCAATTCTGGCTAAAGTGATATGTGTTAACTATATCATCTTGATTTTGGGAGTTCATTCTGCAAGCAATTGATTTTGAGATATCCAGAATACAGCAGAATTGTTAAGAGAACTGCTAGTTGCTCTGTTGTTCTGCCTTTCAGTTGTTTCCCAGGAGCAATTCAAAGCTTTTGATGATTTTCAAGGCTGTGTGAATGGTTTAGGATGAGGGTGACTGAATGATAACTTTCTTCTGTAGAAAAATTGTTAGGGATACACCCTAGCAGAATCTGCACGGCAGTCAGGCAGGCAGGCAAAATATGTGAGATAAACGTTTTTGTAGCTTACACTCAGTAAAACAGATACACAGTGCTAGTTAAATAGTTTATTCCAGTAAGAGTTATAGCATAGTCAAACAGTCCATATATCATTCACTAATTCAGTCCGTCCAGAGATTATTCAGTTGTAAATTCCAGTGTTGAAAAAGAGGTCAGTAAACTTACAAATATCAGTCCAGTAATATATCTCTTCGCAGTAGAGATATGAAGAAGTCAAAAACTCCTCTCTTCCTCCAGCATTCAGGGAACACGCAGTT